AATATATATCGCACATAAATGTGTGTATGCAGTATTCACTTCTATACTACCGTAGAATTCCATCGCATTAACATTCGTATTATTTCATATTTACTTTGTCTCTTTCATTCTCATTGACAAAACAGAGACAACAGTATTAATACAAGTGTCACAGCTGTGAAGTCCTACGGTTAAATCTATTATGCAAAACATTGTCTAGACTACAACGGTTGGAAAACTATAGTGCGGCAAACTTATCTGGCCCGTAAGCGGCACTGCTGTCACACTTTAGTTCCATCTTATTAGTTCTTTTAGAAATGTAAAACCTACTTAAAAAATGACAAATAAAGACACGATACAGCTACTTGTAAGTAGTATGTATAATTTATATTGATAGGGGACGCTAGTCATAATTAAGTTTGCGCTAACCGGGTCAGTTAACTTCATTTGACTATAATTTGCTCAACTACCAGTCACGTTAGTTATAACACGTGTCTAGTAAGGATTTCCACGCGTGACTATAAAAAACTTAATAATTATTTTTCTGCAGTGCATTTTATATGTAATATTACCTTGTTTACGGGCTTACTTTACGTAAGACCTTTTAGCCTTCGTGATGACTTAGTAATTACAGAATTACGTTTATAGCTTTGTTACTAATAATTATATTCAAGGTTGCAATAATAGATTTATTAGAAATGTAAAGAATGTAGCGAAAAGTCTGCAAGTACTATAAGTATTAGCCGATAGACCTAGGTCTAGACATAGACTATATTATCGGGCACTTAGAAAAGCGACAGTGTTATCCTTTCGATCCCTCCATCAACTAGTACGTAGGTGTCACAAGATTAATTATATCGTGCTTGCTACTTCAATACCACCTTGAAGTCACTGTCAATAAGGGTGAGGGTGAGGATCGTCCATCAAAATGATGCCGGGAATGTTGCCATGAGGCTACGAAACCTTTAGCAATAACCCGTATTATGTGTAAAGTTCCGGTGAATTCCACGGAGATCCCGTATCTCATCTCACTAGAAGCTGGCCACCGAGGGGGTTATAGTGGGTACAAGCCAGATATAATCCTGTCTTTTCCCCAGAAGGATGGATATTTTTTGGCAATTTCCCCCCGATACTATAAAAAGGTACTTCAATGTCAGTACATGGCATACAAGTGCCAGCTATTTGAGTGTGTGTTCCAAGCCTTATTTAGCTCGAAACTGTTTCGTATAAAATAATTAAATATATTACAAAAACGTGCACGCATTTCGTAAATGCGAAACAATCGGAAATATACATACACTGCCGGCATTGTAGGACAACAATTGCCGTATACAATAATTTCATAATAAGTACGCAATGTAATTTATCGCGACCAATGTTGCAAAGTGTATTGCACAAATTGGCACATAGTTTAACCTGATTACTACACGAATGTAATGTTACTTTGCATAATATTAGTTTCGGCTTATCCATATTAATACAAACTAAAAAGGTAATTATAAAAATAAAATTAAAAATTGTTTTTTTTTTTTTTCATATAAAAACAACGAAATTATTTATGAATGTTCTTAATCAATGTCCACATGAGTTATTTTTTCTAAATTTTATTAATGTGTTTTGTTAAAATGAACCGCAAGTCACGAGATAATGTTGTTAGTATGAAGACACATTTTATTATTAAATAAAGATGTCTTCACCCTGAATTAAAGTTACATACACAGCTAAGTTGCGTATCGAGCCTTTACATAATAAGCTTTGTAAAGAAACAAGTTTTTCGAGCGCTATTTTGCATCGATTGCACATTCTGTTACGTTACGGATCTCGCGGCACATTAAAATTGTCCTTGGTTTGTACTTTCCGGTGCTGTTTCGAAAGATTATCGATTAGAAATATCGATTCGGCTTGAAATCGCAATGTCTAGTAGACTTCATATGATTATGAACAATCTGGGATTTATTTTTAATTGTTTTAGTTTTCTGTTATAAGCTTATTATTATATGATAAACGAAGTATGGGAAGTCATTGGCTCCTTTAATAGAGGGAATTAACCTAGTAAAGGAGCCAAGGATATATAATTAAATAAAATTCCGAATTTAAAATTAAAAGTGAAGGTTACTCGCATCTTTTCAGTGGTAGTACAGATTAGTTTTGGACGGAATTTATACGGGAGCAAAGCGAAACGTAACACTTTTTTCTGCAGGTAGGCTAAAATTAGATTATATCAGGAAGGAAGGTAATTTAGACATTATTGTCATATGTTAATCGATTTATTTATGTATTTTATGGCAAGAATACAAGCAGAAATATCAAGTGGTGGGCAACTTGTTAAATCGCATTGAACTTTAATAATTTTGATATTTTAATCGTTACTTTCACTCTTTGAAGACGAACTTATTGATAACTTCGTTTTTGCAATGAGAAAGAAACAAAGTGTTTTTGCATGTGTTTCTTTCAAATTATAATGTAATTTTTAATGGACAAATCCATAAATTTGTACAAGATATGGTGTTGCTATTATTATTATATGATTACGAATGCAAAGATTTCTTTATCTTACTAAATTGGGAGGTACCTCCAGTCGGTGTAATAACCGTATCTAAAATTATTGCAGCTGTTTGTAAAACATCAAAAATTATATTTTTTATAGCAGTTTTTAATACAAAATGAAATCTGTAACATCGTTTTCGTCATTTTCGCTTTAAGAGTTGTAAGCGTTCGAAGTATTTTTACAGTAGAACCTCGATAACTCAAACCTCGGTAACTTAAAAACCTCTATAACTTCAAAAGTAATATGTTCCCTTCCCATCAGAGCCCAAAACCTCTACAATATAGACCCTTGATAACTTAAAACCTCTAAGTTTTGTGTTTCCCTTGGACTTTAACTTATCGAGGTTTTACTGTAAAATGCGTACTTGACGGTTAGTTAATTGTTATAGATTTCTAGTTGTTAGGGGTTCCGTATATTGCTTTATTTTATTGTTATTCGTGTATTTTTTATTTAATAATTTGATTGATCTTAACAACTTGTTTGTAAGATTTAAATGCCCTTGTCTACTTACTGCAGTAAATTTTTAACTAGATAATCCTCCTTGTAACGTAAAGGTATCCGCAGTTATTGTTTTTATATAAACTTCCAGTTCTTAATAATTGAATTCCTTAATCATGGTACAAATCTTTATTATTTCGTTCAACGCAATCTAAGAACACTTTTGGTAATAATAATAAATTACCTAACACTAACATTACAGACACAAACGTAGTTGATTTCCAAACACAAATAGTAAGACAAAACATTGCATAGCAATAAAATATTATCTAACCTTTACTTAACGAAATTATAATGATCGCTCAGTCAGAATTTAGCGGGAATGGCTGCATTATTTGTGCACTATGACTGTTAAGAGACAGGACCTGTTATCCACGCATTCCTATACCAAATAGAAACGAACAATAAATTCTAATCTCGCTTGCGTGAGTGGTTTTTGTGTAATCATAAAGATTTTTAATTTTTCCTTATGTACATAATTTATAGTAATTGGGCAAATATATTAAATTCGCTGTAATAGTGATGCGATTGGACGCTAGCAGTATGATTTAAATGACCTCACGACAAATATAATATAGTTAATATAACAGCAAATCTTTGCCTAGTCCGGTTATCTATGGTCAAAGATTTTTGTGTCGAAATGCTAGTTCCGTAGATATGTCAACATCAACACATACACCGTATTACCTCACGCCTACTTTGTGGATATACATATAAGTGTTACACTACATACGACCAATTGTAGTGCAGAATGAATTTAATTTACAATCATAATTTTAAACTGCACTTGGACTTTGCTTATAATGTTAAAAAGCTTTTGAAAGTAATGAATCTTGGTTAGCTATGGTTTTCTTTGCAACTTGTGTTAATTTTAGTGAAGTCAAGATATTTTTTGATGACCTAATAAACAATTACATTTATATAAACGTTGTTCAATCATAATGCGATCTATGAGGAGAGAATTTACAAAATCTTCAAACCTTATATAAAGTTATTTAATTTTGTAAAGTTGCACCATTGAATAGTAAACGAACTGTAGACCTTCCAGAGCTATTTCGCCACAAAGTTAGTTGACCTGTTGCAATCCTGCCGTTGCATGTTGCTGTTATCATTTTTAATAAGGTTTTAAATAAAATGTCTAATTATTTTCATTATTTCCCTTAATATTATAGACGATAAAATTATAGTTACCAATAGCTGATGTTAAACAAAATTTGAATTCTGCATAAATTTACATAGGGTTCAAATTTTATTAAGCTTTAAGTATTTCAATCAGACATTTACAATACTGTCGGATTTCCAACAATCACTACAACGCATACAAGAGCCGCTCGTTAGTGGGCGATAGAGAAATATCTTACAAAACATGACAAAATTAACGGAATTATACAATAATTACGTTGGAACGAGTAAGTCACCTTTAAACAGTAAAATTATTACTTCCAGTTTGCCCTTTAACGGAAACACTTGTTGATATTTGATTTGACGTATTTAATTAACAAATATTAAGTGGACACGTATTTGATGTGTGTAATAATGACAGAGGTCAAGTCTTCAAGGCAGATGGTCATCGTGATTACGGACACTTAAATGACCTAATACATTCAAGCAATACCTTGCGGTTTAGCGTTCAACAAATTATCTCATCTTTTCATTGTTATAAAGAAAAGTATATTTTTAACTAAAAATCTTAATTTGTAGACATTCTTGTTTGATAATGTTGTCTCCCCTTATCTCTTGGTTATTCCAAGAATCAATGTTTATCGTTCTTACTGACTGAAACTATGGATGCCACTCGTTCAGCATAGATTATATAAGTTTGTCATTTAGTGGTGAACTATAGGTTTTTATTTTGATTATTGCGTGTAACCTCATTTTTATTCTCACGTAAAAGAGGGTAGGTTTAAAATCTCTCCAGTTCGGCCGGGCGCGGTCATGCAGAGACGTGTGCGTCATACATCGGGCTAGTCTGCTGTAGAACAAGGTTGATTTTTCGGTTTCGTATTCGCACTAATAACGATGCGAATTTTATCGTGTACGGGAATCAGTGCATACGGAAGCATCACGCGTCGTTTAAAAATAAACTCAAGTCCTGGCTGATCCAGAGAGCTTTTTGTAGTGTCAAGGATTTTATCTGCTACAATGATGTGTGTGATGTATACATAGTTTTAAGTATATCTGTATAATTGTCACATTATCTTAACAATAAAATATTTGCATTTGTATTTCAGCTGGGCAGCATCGTTATCGTAACTTTTGACAGAACTTCCATCGATTGACACTGACAGCGGTCTAGACTGCAGACGGTGAACGGGGTATCGAGTTGGTAAGTGTCACTTTTATTTACAATGTTATACTTGTTTGGTACATGACTATCGACCAATGCTAGCTTATTGTAATTCTACAGTTTGCTTTTCCTTCTTTATGTATTAAATGTCTGCATTTACTCCCTTTAAACAATGCATCCATATTAGAACACTTTTTATTGCATGAAAATTTAGATCGCATCTGGCTGTTACTATGCGAATTATAATAAAAATAATGTAAAATGTTAAGAATAACGATCGGCACGTTTCCACACGTGTTGCATTTCATGAAATCGTATGTAGCGTGGCGCAATCCGGCGATACGTTGCGACACAAGAGCCAACCGATGTGTAAATATACCGAAATATTCATATTCACGTCAAGAATAATCTTTTATTGGATTAGAGATAGAAAATATTTGCAAACTATAAAACAACTAATGTAACAATCATGTAACAAATGATTTTTGTAATTTAAATCCAGCATCCTACAATTATTGTTATTTCAGACTACCCTATATACTACTACATTTACTTATATATTTTATTGAAATTTTCAATTGTTACTAAGATAAGTTTATACAATTCAAGTTGAAATACATTTTTTAAACTTGTAATACCGATACCTATGGTAAAAACATTTGTTTTTGTCAAACAGACAATAAATCTATATTTTGTCACCTTAAAACACTTAGGATTCTCTTATTTAGTTACACACTATCTGTTCTCGTGCGGCTTCATCGGCATGAAATAATGAAAATTTTATTTCATTGTATACATTTATCAAATGATCAATAGCAAATGTCAAACTGACATGACATGACAAAACTTGGTAATCTTGTTACTTTAATGTTGGCAGCAACTTATGGTCTCTTTCCCACATTAGGGATTTTATCCCAAATATTTACCCCTAAGTTTATTGGCGTGACAATATATAGCCTAAAGCGTGACGCAAGTGTAGGGCTTTTTATTAAAAAAAAAATATTCAAAAATATGCTGTAATTGCTGACATCTTAGGCAACAAAGAAGTGTGTGTTTACCCTTTATTATAATAGTTTAGATTTAGCAATATCATTTATATTAACTAAATTAGTAGATAACTAAACTACGTCGCATTGCGGATTGCGCTCTTCAAAGTTACTAATTGTTCATAGAAAGCGGTTTGTTAAGTATTCCATACCAAAGCATGCTTTAAATATATAGTTGCTTTAATTATCATCGTATTAGATATTCCGAGGTTAATATCTATAGATTCATAAATGACAGTAAAATTGCAAAACTCGAAGAGTAAAGCGAACAAACGTTGCAGCACAGCGGTCTCCGGTCCAAACCTTGACATGTGTTACATCACCGTGCCAAGGTGAAGATCGGTAACTGGTGCATGATTATGTAACCAGTGTGCAAGCGCCTTTAATTATAGCTAAAGAACTTGCAAATAACTTTGCAATCGGTTTTAACATTACATGTTTTTTTTAATTATGAAACGTTTATATTTGTAATGGAATATTTTTATACATACGTTTGGGTTATGTTGATTACATATTAAAAAAAAATGTTTACTTAACACAAGAGCACAAAATAGAGTCCTATATATCTTCGTCATCGGATTTTGTTGTCTAACTGCTAGATAGGAGTCTTCTTTATTCTTCTGTGCCACTCTTACCCACGTCCGACCCCACATCGATACAATGTTGTGAACTTTAGAAGAGTAATGCTGCTAGAATAGTTTCTTTCATTCCAAGATCGTGTGTATTTTCTTATATTCTTAAGCTATGATTTCTCGTTCATTTGAAGTTGCAACATCAACAATAGTTTCTGAAAGGCGGCGGTCTATTTTAGCGGTTTAACCTCTTGCCATAGGTCACAATGAAACAGTTAATCCGATCAATTCTAAAATACTGAATTTAAGTTGCGTTTACATCAGTATGTGCTACCTGTTTTGTTATTTAATAAGAAGTAGTGAATTTTTTAAAATGAAAACCAAATATCATCTCTCTGTCAAATAAAAGTACCAGAGACTAAAAATTCAAGAGTAGGTACTATGAAAGGAATCAAAGAAACGAATCAAATTATTCTTTGTGTATTATGTTGCCTTCAAGAAGAATTAGATGAAAATAAATACAAGCCTGGTTAACTAGTTTTTAAAGACAATTGGAATTAACTGCTTGAAAACAAAAGACAGTTGTGCGGAAAATTCCTGAATACTTTACAATGAGGAAAGAAGTAAATGAATGATTTGAAAGTAAAGTGATTCGTGTAAATTTAAGTGTGCACACACCCTAATCAGACCTTACCTACGATTCAAATTGTGGCAGGTTCACTCCTCCCTGATCTATCACGACTTTTGCTGCAAATGTTCTGCTCAAATGTAAACGAAAGTTACTCTAATGGAGTACTTATCGCTCTTGTTTCGAAACAATAAGCAGTTGCAATAATCCCATTTTTGGTACTAAACACTGAATAAAATCATACTAATTTTATAAATGAGAAAGTTTATATGGATGGATGGATGTTTGTTAGAGTTTGTAGTCTAAACGATTGAACGGATTTCGATGAAATTTGCTATAGAAGTAGAGGATAGCCTGGAAGAATATATGTGCTACTCACTTTTGTTTCTTTAATTCCACGCAAACGGAGCTGCGGGCAAAAGCTAGTAGTTTATAAATACGTAAATAAGGAAGTAAGTCATGTTTACTGTTGATTGGAATTTTATGTACTATTTTGTTTTTGAATGTGATTATTATTTTGCCAGATCTAGTTCTTCTGAAGGAAGAAATGTTTGTTCTTCTTTGTAGTTGCAGTATTTTCATACTGGTCATGGACATTTCAATAACAGTGACCAGCTTGACAAGCAGCCGCCACTCCCCCCTTATTGCTGCCATTTTAGTACAGTGTTTCAAGGGGACGACTACAGTCGTTCTTCTGGTCAGTCCATCTCAAAGATGACCTTTTCCGTGGCTTAGTACCCATACCAGAGCACGGGGAAGGTCACCTTTGGTAAAGAAGTGACCCGTCACTTTCTTTGCTCTACTATTCTTTCTGGTATCCATTTGTATTTTTTCGCCCGCTATATTGTCTACCAATTTGTATATGTCTTTTTTGAATCAAGGAAATTAGCCATAAACGACCGTGCAAACATATTCTTGAGCTGTTTAAAATTCAAGAGCAACAGGAAAGACGAACGAGTTTGAAGGGCGGACGTACAAAATAATGGCGAATAAATACAGATGGTTTACAAAACATATCTTGATTTTATGTTATGACAAACAATGATGTAATGGTTTAAACATATTTAGTTAAAAACATTAAAATAAGGACACATACCTACCTGTATTTGTAGGACTATCAGTCAAAAACGTCAATTAAGATATATTTTTTACTGTCAGCGTTTATATGACCGAGTTTTTTTTATCGAATGTTGATCCGTTGTTTGTTAATGTTTATTTAAGTAACTAATATTCGGTGTATCAATTTTTTATTTGCTTTTTTTATATTTAGCCGCTTTATTTAATTAGGGAATGCGTTACGTATTATTTATTTATACAAACATACAATATTACAATCCTAATACAATTTTACAAATACATTTCACACATTTTTTTTCACATTTTAATTTTAAATTCGGTATTTTGTTCAATTATATATCCTTGGCTCCTTTACTTGATTGTTTCATTGTATTAAAGGAGCCAATGACTTCCCTTACTTCGTGTAATATTGTCACAGAATTCACAAAAAAAAAACACAATATTGCATTTTTTCTTTATATATTTGTAAGACTTTGACATGATACGATAATATCCAAATCGACGTGTTAATATTACATTTAATCGAAAATTTTCTCAGAATTAAACTTGCAACGATCTGATATTTGATAATTTTCGACGGTATATAACGACAAAAAGCCATTAAACAGTTACTTGAAATTCAATCGACATGAAGTTGCTGATATTCGGCTTTGTATTTCATGTAAGTATTTTTATTAAATAATTCAAAATTAAATTAAGTACTATGAGGAGGGAATCGCATGTCACAAGGAGAACGTTAGTTATGAGTGTGGTACACCGGTAGGGGTAGACCTAGAAAGAGATGAATGGATTGCGTGAAAGGTGACATGATCAAAAAGGGAGTGATGACTGAGTTGACGTATGATACAGTTATGTGGAGGACAAAAACCTGTTGCGCCGCTACAGGAGTAGGATAAGGAGGAAGATAATAATGAATTTGAAATATAAAATCACACACATTATTTTTCAGGCAATCATAAGGAAATCCTGGATGGAACCATTAACATCTATACAAATTCAAAATTACGACGGACCTATTTATCTTCACGGGCCTGTATCTTGCAGTGATGATATCCCTAAAGGGCTGTACATTTCCAAAGACTGTCATAGATCAAGCAATGCAGACTGCTCATGCGTCAGTAAACCAACTACTATATGTATACCTATAAACACAGCATCTGAGAGTTCTTGTAACTCTGGATTTTACGGAAATAACCCACAGTGTAGTGCTGGTTGTCCACCTCAATGTGACACCCAAATGTATTACTCTATGGAAACGGCAAAGTCTATTTGTCCAAAGGAATTTTGTTCAGTGAAACATTGTCCACGTGATGAATGTAACCATCGCTGTACAAAATGCTATTAAATTTTTTAAATGTTATGTTAATTTTTTTATTCGTTTATCCCAAAATTGTCTAAGTACTGACCAACATCTAACGAAACTATTAAATTGTACACCTTATGTAATGAAATTGTAATAAAAGGCGAAGCAACACACGTAGACAAATGAAACTTTTTGCAACAAATGCATATATTTCGCAAGTCAAATCGCAACTCCGACCCTCGGCGGTGTTTGCCAAACAATGTTTGCCAAACTCAATGTTTGCAAGCGAGGCTTTACCAAGCAACACTCCACGGTACTGTCTGTAATCTTACGACTGCTTTTTGTTCCAAATCGCAATATCTCATTGTTACGCTTAATCCGTTACTAATTAATTGTCCATTGATATCGAAAAT